AATATTAAGGAAGAAAAAAAAAAAAAAAAAAAAACCCTACAAGATCATGTATACCTGTGTGATTAGCTCCATTAGTGGTCCTTGCTTTGGTCTTTATATTCATTGCAGCTCCATTATAAGGTATATGCTTTATTTTTACTTTTATTTTTGTTGGGGTTGTAGGGGTAAAATGTGTATGTTGGCTAGGTAGTTGCTGCAATTAATCCTCTATATATAACCCACAGTTAGTTAAAATGTTTGTTGCATTCTTTCATCAACTCATGTATTGAGATGATAACTAACATTGTGATCCAATGACCACAGCTCCTTTGAAAAGAATAGTAACATCTAAAAATTAAAGGTTCAAGTCTTAGTAATTCCATCTCCCATCCCCCAATGGTTCAATTGTAAAAGTAATAAAATTAAAAAAAGAAAAAAGAAAAAAAAAACCCCTCATGTACGTACTCAGATGTTTATATAACTACTTCTTAACTTCTTTCAGATTTTATCTACATATGAGAAATCAAGAAACTTGGTAGATGATCTTCTTTGTGTGTATATTTGTCAGCATTGCTGTTGTCTGATTTAGAGTGTAAGAATTGGAGTACCCTTTACACTCTCATTGATTGAAATTTTGATTCATCAAAAAGTTTATGTTCAAACACTGGAAGTGAGTGAACTTGATTATAACCTTTTTATCTTTTATTTTATGGCGAATTAGAACTTACCATTAAATTTAATATGAGCGTGATATATATACACACACACACACACACGTGTGTGTCTTAAAATTTCACTTCTATAATTTGGTAGATGATCTTCTGCCATTTCATAAACTGCCTAACTTTACAGTACATAATATTAAATAAATATTAAGTTTATAGTTCCCATATGATTTTTTTTTTTTTTTTGCCATACATCAAATGATGAGTTATATAATAGGACATAATCTCTTCTTCTTCACATGCGTCAATAGGCCTAACAAACGAATGTATTGGGTCAAGTTCGGGTTGGATCAACTTGGGTGATGGGATATATAGGTTAGATCGTAAACAGTTTGTGGGTTGAAAAGGTCCAATCATAACCTGACCATAGCAGGTTACAAGTTAACCAGTTGGGTTTGCTTTATTTTCATTTTTTATAATTATTTTTATTAA